TGTGTGTGTGTGTGTGTGTGTGTTGCGCTTGTCTTCGTTTGGCAATGCTACTATTTTGGGTTGCCATTAAACAAGGTGAGCCATATGAAGGGTAAAGGCATAATAATTATGTGGTATATATGTAAATTCTTCATTTATTTATTTTTTTTATGGATTTTGTTTTTTGTTCTTTGTTGAGGGAGATGATGCTAAATTATTTGATTCACATTGAACCAAGGATGGGAAATTTTTCATTGTGCTCATACTATCGAGTATATTTTGGTGGGAATTTTCTCAGGCAACTCTTATAGACATGGTTGGCTGCCATTAAATAAAATGAACCATGTGAAGTTTAAATGCATAAGAATTCGGTGGTATGTGAGTAAATTCCCCATTTTCATTTTATTTTTAATTTCTATGTCTTGGTCTTTGTTGAGGGAAGCAATGACGAGTCATTAAATGATCTGTACCTAAGATGGATTTTTTTTCTTGTAATGAAACCATCGAGATGGCCTGATGGACATGCAAGGCCACTACTAAATAAAGTGATTCGTGTAAAGTTTAAATATAATAATTTAGTGGTATTTATGCAAATGCCCCATTTTTTATTCTTCATTGAGGGAAGTGTTGATGAATCATTGATTGATTGATTTTGAAATAAAGATAAAATTTTTCCTTGTACGGTCTATTGAGGATGGCCTGGGCGGAGGCTTCTCCGGCAACCAATATAGGCTTGCAAGGTTGCCATTAAATAAGGAGAACCTTGTGATGTTTAAATGCATAAGAATTCAATGGTTTGCATTTAAATCTCCCTTTTTTATTATTTATTATTTCTTGTTCTTCCTTGAGAGAAGCAATGATGAAACTTTTCCTTGTTGAAATTATTGAGTATGACATGTGATAGGCTTCTCAGGCAACCCATATAGGCATGCAAATTACGGTTAACGATTCGATTTCGAGCCAAGTTGTGTTTGACTCGAATAAATTTAGTGCGGTTCTAAATCGGCTCATGGCTCGATATGTTCAATCCAATTCGAAATCGAAAAAAACTTGTTCAACTTGAGATCTTTGGATCTATTTCAAGCTCAAAATGAGCTCGACTCGGCTCAAAATTGAAACTTACTGGCCCGAGTTGAGTTATTTAGATCCATTCCAGCTCATAATCGGCTTGCGCAACTTGTTATAATCAATTTTACTTTGCATTATATATATAAACCGATCCCGAGTTTGTTCGAGTTGATTCATGTATTGCTCTAAATTGGCTTGAAGAAATTTCCATGCAAGGTTTTGACTCATAGCTCAGCTCTTTTATTTAGATCCCATCTCGATCTTTGTCAAATTTGAATCGATTTTTGAGCCATTAACAATGTTCGAGTTAAATTCACTGCCCTAATGCAAGGTTGCCATTAAATTAGTTGAGCCATGTTATGTTTAAATACATAAGAATTGATGGTATGTATGTAAATCCCCCTTTTTAATTTCGTCAGAATTCAAATCATGTTCTTTGAGGGAAACAATGATGAATTATTGATTGAATTTAAAATAATGGAAATTTTCATTATTTTCAAACTATTGAGGATGGCCTGGGGAAGGCTTTAATGCAATTGTTGTTATAGGGAGCCTGATTATGTAAATCAATTGTCAACTTAGAGCCCTCAATTTCATTTATCAAGCTCTGTGATGGCCTGAAGACTTTTTTTCGCACATAGAGCCTCAACATTGTACTTGCAACACCTTTATGTTATAACCACAATGCTGCGAAACAGAAGCTATTTTTTCTGTATTCTTTTTTTAGCACTGGATTTCGTATTCTTTTGTGGGTGCGGTGCAAGTATTCAGGTGTGTCCAAATTGTGAAGAGGTTTGAGTTTGGTACAATTTGTACTATTTCTCATTTTGGTTTCATGGCGGATTTGTTTGCTTGATGTGGCTCCATAATTTTTTACTGTTTGCGGGTTTTTTGGTGTTAATTTGGTTTTTGTGTTTTTTCTTGCTTTGTATGCTTTTGTTCAAAGTTTTGCTTTGGTTCGATCTCTTGAATTATTTCCGCAATTTACATCTCACAACAACTTATATAGACATGTGAGGGGTCGAATGTTGAATTTAAAGATTATTTCAGCTTCTTTTTTCTTTCTCTCCCTCTCTTTATCCCTCTCTCCTACTTTGCTCTCAGCATTTGAGGCATTGTAAATGCCCCACAAGAGTTTCTTAGATCTAGGGGGTGTTAAAAATTGGCCCGACACGCCAACATGACTCTAGTTGGACTCGTAAAAATTTGGTTTAGGGTTGACACAAATATTTTTCGTGTCGGGTTCAAGTCAGAGAATTCTGCTAATTTATTATTCGATTCGGGTTCGGGTTCAGTTTGAACCTGAAAATCCAAACATGACTTGAATAAGCACGAAATTTCTGAAAGGACAGTGAGTTTGGGTCAGGTTCGGCTCTTAGTTTCGACCTGTTTATTATTCTGGTTGGGTTTGGGTTGACCTCTATTCGTGTCAATCTCTATTCGTGTCAACACCCCTACTTAGAGCCTTGTTAACGAATATTAGGTTTTGAACTTCTAAGGAAGGAGTGTTCTTCTCAATCTTTCTCATAAGTATGAAAGCCTTTCGCGTATGCTGCTCTTTCGTTATGAGAAGATAATGACCTTACTGTTGACTTCATTTTTATATGATGCATACCTTACTCCCTCTTTTTCTCAAGCATTTATGATTTAACATTAAGGTTTCTTTAATGATTTTCCCAGAAGACTGGTAGAGGTACCAACACTAAGCTACAACTTTAAACATTTCTTCACTCCTTATAGTTTTAGATGCTTAACTTTCAATCCTTAGCCTTTGGCTAAGTTGATTAAAGTTAACTCGTTGAATTTTAAGTTGAGTTCTCATAGAACTGAACTTAAGACCCTAGAGACTTGGATCTTCTTTTGGTCTCTTTTGGTCTCTCGATTGAGCTCAACTTAAACTAAAATTTAAATCACACTTAAATAACATTTTGTTCTAATTTAATTAAACTTGAATTAACACTTAAATCACACATAATTTAACTTAAATTCATCTTAATTAAAAAAATTTAAAATTTAAAATTTAAAATTAGAAATTAACCTAAACTTTAAATTTAAAAAAGAAAAATT